TCGCACCCGATGTGACTGGGACGTAAGGCTACTTTCACACTGAGGAGCTTTTGAAGCGTTTTGTGTTTAAAAAAAAAAAGTGCCTGAAAAACTCAAGATAAACGCTTCCCAATGTATGTGAATGTATATCTATGTATGTTTTCACACTGAGCCATTGCGCCTGTGGTGCATTTTAAAAACTGCAGCATTTTTGGGGCATGTTTGGGGAGTTGGAAAAAAAAAAAGCCTCTTCCCATTGATTCGGCTACTTTCACACTGATCCACTGCAAAAACGCATACACGTTTTTTACCGTGACAAGTTATTTTATTTCTCCCACACGGCATAGGCCAACTTTCAACTACACCCCAAAACACATTCTGCTACTCCTCCTGAGTATGGTGATACCACATGTGAGACTTTTTAGCATTCAGGCATTATCCACTTTTAAAACCAGGCTACCTTCTGACACTTTTTGTTTACATGTAAAAATCTGTATTTTTACCAAAAAATTACTTTGAACCCCCCAATTTTTATATTTTTAGCAGAGGCCCTATAGAATAAAATTGTGGGTTTTGCAATTTTTTTTATGTTACACGGTATTTGCGCAGCGGTTTTTTTTTCGAATGCTATTTTTTAGGAAAGAATACACTTTAAGGAATTTTAATGCACACAATATAATATCCACATTTTGGTAAAATATGGTGTTGCACCAAGTAAATAAATACCAAACATGTCATGCTTTAAAATTGCGCACGTGTGTGAAATGGTTTCAAACTAGGGTATTTAAAAATCTCCATAGGGAATGCTTTATACGCCTTTTACAGGTTACCAGTTTAGAGGTAGAGGAGGTCTGGTACTAGAATTATTGCTTTTGCTCTGACGTTCACAGTGATGACTTGTGTGTATTGCGATCGCCGTTTACGTGTGCGTATGAGACCAATGCGTTTGTTCGCCTTTGCACATGAGCAAGGGGGGGGGGGGCAGGGTGCTTTAAAAGAGAGGAAAAAAAATGTTTTGTGCACTGGTACACTGTGACAGATGTAGACATGTTGACATATGGACAGGGACAAATGCTGCTTGGTGCATTGGTGTGGGATAGTTGCAGATCTGAGTAACCGTTTATGTTCTTTGGCCAGGTGGAAGGTGGTTAAAAAAGTAAGGATGTGACTGAGTTGACTGCATAACTACATGTAGAAATGTGCAGAATGTTTTGCATTTGGGTTTGAGGCAGTTGGTTGGCTGAAATTGTATTTACATGATGTTCACATAAGTTAAAGGGAAACTATAATGCCACTGTCAGTTTTGTTCAATATACACACACCAGCCACTTTATTAGGCACAATTTGTTACTGCCAAGAAAATATCCCCCACACCATTACACAACCACTACAACCAGCCTGATCGTTGATACAAGGCAGGATGGATCCATGGTTTCATGTTGTTTACCCCAAATTCTGACCCTACCATCTGAATGCCGCTTACTGGATATTTTCTCTTTTCTGCACATTCTCTGTAAACCCTAGAGATGGTCATGGGTGAAAATCCCAGTAGATAAACAGTTGAAATACTCAGACCAGTCTGTCTGGCACCAACAACCATGCCATGTTTAAAGTCTCTTAAATCCTCTCTCTTCCCCATTCTGATGCTTGGTTTGACCTTCAGCAAGTTGTCTTCACCACGTCTACATGCCTAAATGCATTGAGTTGCTGCCATGTGATTGGCATTTTGTGTTATCAAGCAATTGAACAGGTGTGTCTAATAAAGTGGCTAATGAGTGTGTATCTGCAATAGATGAACCTTTTCCAATGTTTTGTTCTTTTTACAAATGCTACAAATACAGGAAAATACCTGCTGATCTTGCAGAAGCCAGTGAGCTTCTAACTTTCTGTAGTGAGTAGACAAAACGGTGCCTCTGCTACACTGAAATCCCCCCGCAGTGTTGTGAGCCCTTCCCAGTTTCCTTTGTTGGACTACAAAACTCCCCCACCCCCTTGATGGCATGAGAGCATAGGTATTCTTCTAGCAGCCCAAACATTAGTCATTTTTTTTTTTTTTTTTCGTTCAACCAGTGGGTTTCAGTATGGATGAAGGAGTCACTCCAGTTGAGCTATCGTGTTCTGAGGGCAGGAGACTTCTCCGATGTCAGAATACAATGATCAGCACTGCTGGCTATAGCCCTTGGCACTAATTTGAGTGGCATTTATCCACCAGGCTGGCTGTCCAGAAGTTGATTGGTAGATCACTTCTGTACAGCCAGGGTGCCATACTTGGGCTGAAATTTTGGCTTGACCTTGCTGTAGCGGCCGAATTTCAATCCATGTATGGCCATTCTTCACTGTTTACTGCTACACTAGTAACCAGAAGACCATTTTAGAAAACCAGAATTGACAGCAACCAAAATACTCATTTTGGCAGCAGCTGTGATTTTTCTTTTCCTCTCCTAGCCATGATAAATTCTGTGCCTTTGACCTGTTTCTTACCTCACTTTTTTTTCATCTGCAGTTGGGATAATCCGCTGTCCAGTGTGCAGTCAGGAGTGTGCCGACAAAGACATCATAGAAAACTACTTTGTGCGAGACACCACTGAAGTTCCCAGCAGCACTGTAGAGAAGCCGAGCCAGGTGAGATTTCTATCTGTCCTGTTCTATGGCTTAGTGTTGGCTCCTCTCAATTGCATAGGAAGGGTGCGGAAATCTTCATAGTGGGGACACAAACAAAATCCTACCCTTTTCTCAACAGGATCAAAAACTTGAAGGATAACTACTTTTAGCACAGCAGCATAGTGGTTAGTGCTTCTTTCCTGCGACACTTGAGTCCTTGGTTTGAATCCTGATCAAGACACTGCATGGAGTTTGCATGTTCTGCTGGTAGGTTCATTGGCCCCTGTCTAAATTGACCCTAGTCAGTGGAGTGCAGGGACCTTTATATAGTAAGCTTCCAGGGTAGGGACTGAAGTGAATTTACATATGTAAAGCTTCAGAAATTGTAGCTGCTATGTAAAGGCCAAAAATAAATGGTACAATTATCGTATAAAACTCAGTTGCTTGTCCCCCTCCAAAGACATCCCCATGTAGATTGCTGAGTGCTGCCTGTCAAGAGTATTCCAGCTAGGCCCAGCTTATTCTGCATGCTGCCATTTCTATTCATACCTGAAAGTAATCTACAGTAATTCCATAAGACTTGAAACGAGGGTGTGTTTTCATATGTGTGTAAAAAAAGAGGAGCCTCCTTTTCTTTTCTTTTTTTTTTTTTTTTTTTTTTTTTATTGTATTAAATTGTTTAGGAAATAGGAAAAAGCTGAAAATTTCTCTGTGTTTTTTGTTATTTTTTTTTGTGTGTGTGTGTGGTATTTGTGAAATTTCATAAGTACCTAATCCTTCCCTGCTTTACTTCTTATGTCTTTGTCCCCATTCCAAAGGGGCACAACAGGAGCACAGATGGTAGCAAAAATTTACTCTATTAGAAAGAAAAATTGAACTTTGATTTGGGCGTTCTATTTAAAAGATAATTTTACTAAAATTTAGTAGTTATTTAAAAAAGTCCTTCCCTTCTGCGGTTTCCCGCGGTGCTCCTGACACCTTCTGCCTTTTGAATAGCCCCTCCCCCCAGCAAGCCACATGCTAGAGGAGGTTACTCCTGTGGGTTCTACCTGGAGCCACCCTCTGTGTCTATTGACACAGGGTGGCTCGCCCCTGCTCCCTAGTCACTGGATTGATTGACAGCAGAAGAAGCCAATAGCTCCAGTGAAGAGGGAGAGTGGGCGCAGCAGCACTGCTATTGGGCGCAGCACTGTTTTGAGATTGGACTCTGGTAATTATTTATGGGGATGGGGGGAACTTCGCCTAAAAGGTTTTTTTACCTTTTAAGGCCTCTTGCACACTGCAGCTTGAAACAGTTCACTACAGTGTTTTTTTTTGTTTGTTTTTTTTAACTAATTTAAAATGCAGGCCATTGTTTACATTGTGGCTGTACACTCAGGCGTGTAAACAAGCTGAGTATTCTTGCAGTAACTAAATAAAAATTTGCATTCTTGGTTAGTAATTTGTGCCAGTGTACACAAATATGCACATACGAGTATAAATTTTAATGGGTTTTGCCTAGGAATATATTGTGTGAGAGTGCAAATGCACGCAAAAATATGCTCAAAACAAATGCCTGAAAATATGAGCTGAAATGCTGATGCTCAAACATCAGCAGGCAAAAGCAGAAAGGCAAAAATCATTTGGCTTTTAAAACCACTTTAAATTTACCTACAGTTAAACTTTGTCAACTATTGAATCACAATCTCTATTTCTGTCTTTGCAAAATTTGGCTTGACTGTACCCTGAGAACATCTGAACTCTGTTTTGTGAACGCTTGGGGAGATTTATTAAACTGATGCACACAGAATCTGGTTCCTCTGACAATAAAACCTGGAACCTGATTGGTTACTATGCACAAAGCTTAATTGAACAAGCTCAAGTTAGAAGCTGATTGGTTAGTATGCACAAGTCCACCAGATTCTTATGCAGGCCATAGACGGGTCGAAAACCAGCCGTTTAAAAAAAAAAAAAAAAAAAAAAAAAAAAAAATCGGTCGTTCAATAGGCTGACGTTACCACCAACGGTAAAAAAAATCAGCCGATTTTCGTCCTGTCTACGGCCAGCTCCACTATTATATTTGACATGAAAAAGTATTGCGGTAGCAACAATGTATCTATTTGTATCCATTTCGGATACAGATGTTTTTATTCAGATACAAATAGATACATTGTTGCAACCACAATACTTTTTCATGTCAAATATAATAGCGGACTGGAATTTTTTCTTTTTTCTTTTTCTTCTTGCAGGTCAAGGCTCATGTGCAGATTTTTTATCGGTAAAATGCCCATCATTGCCAGGAAAATCATCCGATTTTTTTTTTTTTTCCAACTTCACTGATAAAAAAAAAAAATGCCAATATCCCGAAAACTGGCCAACCACTGATGGTGTGAAAATCGGCCGTTTTTTTTTTTTTTCTTCGGCCGATTTTCGACCAGTCTATGGCTTGCATTAGGGTAGTTTTAGTAAATTTCTGACATTATGTAGATACGAACATTTCTCATAGCTGTAGCTCATGTATTTTTCATACTGTGAAAGGACCATCGTGAGTTTTTTTTTTTTAATCTTTGCAATAATCAGGCCATCTCAATTTGGGTATTTCCTGTGTCTTTAGCAAGTTTGCACAAGCTGCGAGGACAACGCAGAGGCTCGAGGCTTCTGTGTAGAGTGTGTGGAATGGCTGTGCAAGAACTGCATCCAGGCCCATCAGAGGGTAAAGTTCACCAAAGACCACACTGTGCGCCAGAAGGAGGAGGTTCCGCCTGGTGAGTGACTTCTCATTATGTTCTGTGTCATCTGACTTTTCTCTCTTTCAGGGTCAAGTTAAAGGAATTGTAGGAAAGTTCATTGCATTTAAACAGCTACCTTTTTCTTGTATTTGTTGGGGACTCTGATTGCTAAGCACAGTCCTCTCACTCTCCCTACCTACTTTAAGACCAGGCCTTTGCTGACACTTTTTGTTTACATGTAAAAATCAGTATTTTTTGCTAGAAAATTACTTAGAACCACCGAAAATAAATAAATGGAAAACACACACACACATTTTTTTTTTTCTCAGGTATTTTCCAAAACATATTTAAGCTATAGTTCTATAATGGATATGGGCTAAAAGTGCACACTTTCAGGTTTAATTTGAGGGTATGTACAGTCAGGTCCATAAATATTGGGACATGGACACAATTCTAACATTTTTGGCTCTATACATCACCACAATGGATTTGAAATGAAACGAACAAGATGTGCTTTAACTGCAGACTGTCAGCTTTAATTTGAGGGTATTTACATCCAAATAAGGTGAACGGTGTAGGAATTACAACACTTTGCATATGTGCCTCCCACTTTTTAAGGGACCAAAAGTAATGGGACAGAATAATACTCATAAATCAAACTTTCACTTTTTAATACTTGGTTGCAAATCCTTTGCAGTCAATGACAGCCTGAAGTGTGGAACGCATAGACATCACCAGACGCTGGGTTTCATCCCTGGTGATGCTCTGCCAGGCCTCTACTGCAACTGTCTTCAGTTCCGGTTTGTTCTTGGGACATTTTCCCTTCAGTTTTGTCTTCAGCAAGTGAAATGCATGCTCAATCGGATTCAGGTCAGGTGATTGACTTGGCCATTGCATAACATTCCACTTCTTTCCCTTAAAAAACTCTTTGGTTGCTTTTGCAGTATGCTTTGGGTCATTGTCCATCTGCACTGTGAAGCAGCGTCCAATGAGTTGTGAAGCATTTGGCTGAATATGAGCAGATAATATTGCCCGAAACACTTCACAATTCATCCTGCTGCTTTTGTCAGCAGTCACATCATCAATAAATACAAGAGAACCAGTTCCATTGGCAGCCATACATGCCCACGCCATGACACTACCACCACCATGCTTCACTGATGAGGTGGTATGCTTAGGATCATGAGCAGTTCCTTTCCTTCTCCATACTCTTCTCTTCCCATCACTCTGGTACAAGTTGATCTCGGTCTCCTCTGTCCATAGGATGTTGTTCCAGAACTGTGAAGGCTTTTTTAGATGTCGTTTGGCAAACTCTAATCTGGCCTTCCTGTTTTTGAGGCTCACCAATGGTTTCCATCTTGTGGTGAACCCTCTGTATTCACTCTGGTGAAGTCTTCTCTTGATTGGTGACTTTGACACACATACACCTACCTCCTGGAGAGTGTTCTTGATCTGGCCAACTGTTGTGAAGGGTGTTTTCTTCACCAGGGAAAGAATTCTTCGGTTATCCACCACAGTTGTTTTCCGTGGTCTTCTGGGTCTTTTGGTGTTGCTGAGCTCCCCGGTGCGTTCCTTCTTTTTTAAGAATGTTCCAAACAGTTGTTTTGGCCACGCCTAATGTTTTTTCTATCTCTCTGATGGGTTTGTTTTGTTTTTTCAGCCTAATGATGGCTTGCTTCACTGATAGTGACAGCTCTTTGGATCTCATCTTGAGAGTTGACAGCAACAGATTCCAAATGCAAACAGCACACTTGAAATGAACTCTGGACCTTTTATCTGCTCATTGTAATTGGGATAATGAGGGAATAACACACACCTGGCCATGGAACAGCTGAGAAGCCAATTGTCCCATTACTTTTAGTGCCTTAAAAAGTGGGAGGCACATATGCAAACTGTTGTAATTCCTACACCGTTCACCTGATTTGGATGTAAATACCCTCAAATTAAAGCGGACAGTCTGCAGTTAAAGCACATCTTGTTCGTTTCATTTCAAATCCATTGCGGTGGTGTATAGAGCCAAAAATGTTAGAACTTTGTCCATGTCCCAATATTTATGGACCTGACTGTACATCCAAATTAGAAGAAAGGTTTAGGAATTAAAGATCTTAAGAGTAGCCATCCCCCTTTTTCAAGGGACCAAAAGTAATTGAACAATTGAATATAATCATAAATAAAATGTTCATTTTTAATATTTTGTTGAGAATCCTTTACTAGCAGTGACTGCCTGAGGTCTGGAACCCATGGACATTACCAAAGAATGGGTTTCCTCCTTTCTAATGCTTTGCCAGGCTCTAACTGCAGCTGTCTTCCGTTGTTTGTGGGTCTTTCTGCCTTTAGTTTTGCTTTCAAGTGAAATGCATGCTCAATTGGGTTGAGATCAGGTGATTGACTCGGCCATTGCAGAATATTTCACTTCTTCTTTTCCTTCAAAAGCTCTTGGGTTGCTTTTGCAGTGTGTTTTGAATCATTGTCCATCTGTACTGTGAATCGCCGTCCAATCAACTTTGCTGCATTTGGCTGAATCTGGACTGACAGTATATCTGTAAACATTGCAGAATTCATCCGGCTGCTTCTGTCTTCTGTCACATCATGAATAAACACAAATTACCCATTTCCCCTGGAAGCCATGCATGCCCATGCCATCACACTGCCTCCACCATTTACAGATATTGTGTCCTTTGGATCATAAGCTGTTCCAAGCCTTCTTCACACTTTTTTTTTTTCTTCCTGTCATTCTGGTACAGATTAATCTTAGTTTCATCCGTCCAAAGAATGCTTTTCCAGAACTGGTCTGGCTTTTTTTTTTTTTTTTTGTTTTTTGGCAAAGTTTAATCTGGCTTTTCTATTCTTCAGGCTTATGAATGGTTTGCACCTTGTGGTGAACCCTCTGTATTTGCTCTCATGAAGTCTTCTCTTGATTGTAGACTTTGACAATGATACACCCACCTCCTGGAGAGCCTTCACTTGTCTGGATGTTGTGAATGTGTTTTTCTTTACCATAGAGAGGATCCTGCGATCATCAATCACTGTTGTCTTCCATGGACATCCATGCCTTTTTATGTTGCTGAGCTCACCAGTACGTTCTTCTTTTCTCAGAATGTACCAAACTGTTGATTTAGCCACTCCTAATGTTGCAGCCATCTCTGATGGATTTGTTTTTGTTTTTGAAGCCTTACAATGACCTGTTTCACTTTCATGGACAGCGCCTTTGCATTTGGAATCTATTGCTGTGAACCTACATAATGCGTTCAAACACCACACTTAGAATCAACTCCAGACATTTTACCTGCTTAATTGATGAAGAAATAACGGAGTAGCCCACACCTGGCCATGAAACCGCTCTTGATTCAGCTGTCCAATTACTTTTGGACCCTTTTCAAAAGGGTTGATGGCTACTCTTACACTGACCTGGTTGTAAGGAGGAGAATCGCATAATCTATGGCCTCCCTTACTTTCCTCATTTGTCAGGGTCCAAGGAGAGCACAAAGACTAAATCACAAAGGCTGGCCTTGCACTGTAACAGTCATGGGATCACTAGATAAAACGCTAAAACTGGAAATATACGTGCCATAATTTGAGTGATTCTTTTGTAACGCTTTCCTGTCCTGCCGTTTTTTAATCCACCATTTGATCAGTGTATGCAGCCAAAGGCTGCAATACTGACCTGTGTATTCTGGTGGGCATCTATTCTGGTTTGTCTGGATGCAGGTATCATCTGTGAGGGGAGGTTTAAAATCCCTGTGTATACCATGCTTAAGATTTGTGTTTATATGACTTGCTTCAGGAATAGCTGTTAATATGTCTGAAGGGACTAAAATGTTTACAGCTACTTTAATTTGACATAGGAAGATTGTAGATTTCCTTCCTAATGCTTTAGATATACTGATTTATTTCTTCTTAGCGGTTGGAGGCAATAGCCAGCGTCCTGTTTTTTGTCCGTTCCACAAGAAGGAGCAACTGAAACTTTACTGTGAAACCTGCGACAAATTGACATGTCGGGACTGTCAGCTGCAAGAGCACAAGGAGCACAGGTATGGACAGGCGCTTCGCCAGTGGGAACATAGTATGTGATACTGGGGGAAAAGACCAAAGATCGTTAACCTGTTATAATATTACAGTTGGTTAACAAGGAAGAACAAAAGAGAGACAAACAATTGTCCCTTAAGCTGGCCATAGATGGTTCGAATCTCTGCTGAATCGGCTGAGATTCGAACCTTCTGTGGGCTGGCTGATTGTTACCAATTCGATTGTACGACTTTGGTACAATCAGCATTTCAGATATTCACATGCATTTTATTGCTAACGGCTTTAGCCACTAGGAGTCCATCCCTGTGTTCTTCCAGCAGGGATGTCTCCCCGAACAACCCTAAATTTCCCCTTCCCAACCAGGACAACACAATAGGTTCGCGAGAGGGATTCCCCCATCAACACTGACCTGGTTGTAGGGAGGAGAATCGCATAATGTATGGCCTCCCTTACTTTCCTCATTTGTCAGGGGCAAAGGAGGGCAGGTGCAGCACAAAGACTAAATGGCAAAGGCTGGCCTCGCACTGAGGTCAATCTTTTTAATAAATTTTTATTGTTCCAGATGTGCACACTGAAAGCCCTGCCTGGGACTTCCCCCCCCACTGGGGTTTATCACCGTAGAAGTGGGCTTGGTCATGGGAAAACTATTAGTCTGTAAGGTGAGACACATTAGAGTGGGAGATATCCAGCAGGATTTCCAGTGTGCTACATTCTACAATGTGTGACATTCTATTATGCTACATCCTACAATGTGCCATCTTTTGAGCGTTATTCTGTCTGGTCTGCTCCAAATCCTATCACAGAAACATTTTTCTTCAAGGTACCAGTTTATTGAAGAAGCTTTTCAAAGTCAGAAGGTGATCATTGACACGCTAATCTCAAAGTTGATGGAAAAGAACAAATACATTAAATTTACTGGAGACCAAATTCAAAATCGGTAAGTGTGCAAGGCATCATTAAAGCTCCATGTTCGGGGTGACTTAAAGGCTTGACACTGGCTAGGCTAGGTCCTTTCACTGTGAGTCTTGGCTCTAGTTTTAACATATGTGCCCTTTTAACAAACTGCTTCAAAAGTGCAATTAAAAGTGATAAATATATAAACCAAAACTAAAGTGCCTCCTGTCAGCCTTCTGGACCTTGTAATATTAGGCTTGTCTGATATCTAACGGATGGCATCATCTCATATATTAGTGTAACCTTTTAAGGGCAATTCCATCGAAGCTGGAGTTATGGATAGTTTGTCTATGGTAGGTAAGAAAAAAAAGACAAGGATGTATGAAATATCTGTTACAGAGTCTCCCCTCTTTCCTTTTTCATACTGACCACGTCAGGCATGGAAGCACCACCATCCCAGTGTGGTCACGTTTATTTGCATTCTACGTGGGAGCACAACCTGCCTGTATTCCAGTGGTCACACTTGTGTTTACATTTCATTGTCCGCACAATGTACTGCAGTTTCTCTGCCTCCTGAAGACCCCCCCTTTCCTCCCCGCCTAGCTCCAGTGTTTCTGTCTCTGCATTTTACACTGGATTGTGTCTGTACTCTGTTCATTTAATTAGAATATACTCCAACCTTGACAGATTCACGGCAAACGGTTTCAATAACTTTTTTTTTCCCCTTCGCAGAATCCTTGAAGTTAATCAGAACCAAAAACAGGTGGAGCAGGACATCAAAGTAGCTATCTTTACCCTTATGGTGGAAATCAATAAAAAAGGAAAGGCTCTGCTTAATCAGTTGGAGGTAAAGAATGTATTTTTGTCACAGCAACCAATTAGCTACTGATATTTTTGTACCATGATTGTGTAGCTAGATATCCAAATCTGGGTCACTGTGGTGGGAGATTAGTGTAAATGGGTTAGTTTTCCCCATCAACAGCACTGTGGAATATGTCAGACCTTTATAAATGTATAATAGTTTTGTGGTGGGGCATTAGAGTGTATACTCCTCTAGTGCAGACACTCTAATGTAAATGGCACAGTGTTTTCTGTAAGACACTGTAGAATTCAGTACGAGCTATAGAAAACTAGAAAATGTAAATGGTTGAGAGTGGAGATCCAGGCCGAGCCATTTTAGGCTCTCTTCGGGGTCATCATTGGTCTATGTAACCTAAGAACCACCTATGTCATGTTGGAGGTACGGTGGAAAAATCTTGGTGCTTGGGCATCAAAGAGACCTTTGGTTACATAGATGCTTTTGTTTTAAAGCTGAAGTTTATTCTGCTGATTATTTTTTCTTGATAGCAGTTTACTATAACATTCACTCCGCAGAATACACCCTTCTGCTCAAAAGGCATCAACTGTTGTATGAGCTTGCCTGTTAAAAATTGGCACACACCACCTTCTGTCAATTTCAATATGGCACACTGCACTTACTGTGAGCAAACAGACTATTACAGTATTCTAATGTATACAAGATCTCCTCCAATCTTCACTGGCAACAATGTATCCTCCCTCATAAAAGCTAAGCTCATTGGCAAACCTTTTACCAGTAACATTCTGTTATATAGTTACAATCTTTCAACTATGAACTTATTTCAATCCATAAATAATAGCTTGTAGCAATGTCACCTTGTCTCCACATCCTTCCATGCTCAAACCTGTCCTCCTCAAGACATTTGCTAAGATTAAATAGAAGAGAGCCCCCTTCTCCTTGTGCGTTAGTTTTGTGGATGTTTTGCCATCGAGCTGAGGACTTATATAGGAGAATACATTGTTGTCCGTGAAGAGGACTGAAGGAGATTTTGTATACACTGTAAACATGTAATTGTCTCCTCACATGCTCCTTATGCCATATTGAAACGAACAGAAGGATGGGTTTGCAGTACTGTGACAGGCAGACCACTAAGTAAGCACTGTTTTATAAGTTGTTACTTTCTAGATTTACATTTTGGGAAGGGGTAGAACAAAGATGCTACTCTATTATAGATTTCTTCTTTATGTTTATTATATATTGCGTTCTTTGATCTCCTGCCATCCTTAATGTGCTAATAACCTCCCTAAACCTTTCAGTTTGCATTATACATCTTTGTTTGGACACAGTGATATTGATTGGTCTCTGTGCTTCTCTATGCAATCCAGGTAGATCAAGGCTGGTGGGAGGTTGCTATACATAGCTTTTTGAAAATGTAACACCCTGCCTCTCCAGAGTCCTCAGCCTTGATGAAAGTAGTGGACTGGCTTTTTAGAGGGTTATGCAAATGGAAAAGGCCTTTAGAAGGTGGATGTCAGTCTGGATGAGTGGCTGTTGCTAGTCAGGTTGCATTTGCATGCAGACCACCATTGGTAATGCCAAAATGATTGGTAGAACTGAGTGCCAATGAATAAAAAGAACAGGTTACAGTTAGACTGGGGAGGAAGATGATGGATGTCTTCCAGTCAGGTTAAGAGGTGGGCTCGATCTGATTTGCTGCAGCTTCCAAGTTACACTGTGAGACGCTCACTTTGTGCAGTGAAATCGGAGTAAGCCTTTTTAGTACAGGGGGCAGCCCACAACTGTGCAAGACTGAAAGAGAGGGCTGGAATTCGGGGTTAAAAAAAAAAAAAATCCTGATCGCTTGCCCCATAAATGTATAGCATTGAAGATTAATGGAAAAATATTTACGTGACAGTCTTCCATTTTCCCTCCTATTGCAGACCCTGGCAAAGGATCGCCGCACAAAGCTCCTCAAGCAAAAGAATGAAGTGGATGGTTTTTCCAAACAACTGGAACATGTAGTGTACTTCTCCAAATGGGCGGTGTCCAGTGGAAGCAGCACAGCATTACTGTACAGCAAGCGGCTGGTGAGTTTTCTAGTTCTGTCATGGAATTTGTTTTCTACTTTCAAACTTTGTCCTGGATACCTTGGCCCCAGTCAGACTATTCTGTAACCTTACAAATCCTTCTATCACAATTATACTGCAAAAAAGTATATATAAAATCTCCACCTATTATCATTTTAAAAAAAAAATTTCCGTGATCTTAGTGATTTATCCTGGGATGAGACTGTCATCAGTCTGTTGCAGGCAGGAGGAAGTATTTCTGCATTTTCCTCTGCCCCAGTGATCAGGCTGCAACATTGTAAATTTTTGTGGCACGTCACAAGGTGAAGCTACATCTGTGTTATTTGAACATAGTCAAGAACTGCACAGGCACTAGGATTTACATGACTGTCATCTCTGAGCTGGCAAGTCTAGGAAATACATGGTGAGTCTGGAAGAGGCCAGGACAAATATGGTTCCTTCCTGGAGAGAGAAGCAGATAAACACATTGTTAGGGGCAGCACTGTGATCTTTCTGAAAGGCAATATATGCCTGGAAGTGGCACATTACTAAGCATGTAGCACAATTGAGATATATTGCATCTGTTGCTAGGTCCACTCTATGCACGCAACAGTATGATGGATGAGATTTTCTCTTTCCTGAGCGCACCGTGAGGCGTGCAGTTTTTATTTTCTGGCTGTGATTTCATTATGTATCTGGCCTAGAAAGCTTTTTGTTTTTACAGTTGCAAGAAAAGGTATGTGAACACTTTGGGATTACTTGGAGTTTTGCATGAATTGGGCATAAAATGTGCTCTGAACGTCATCTAGGTCACAACAATAGAAGAACACAGTCTGCTGAACATAATACTACACAAACATTAGATGTTGCCATGGTTTAATTGCACATAACATGCGAACATTCACAGTGCAGAGAGGAAAAAGTATGTGAACCTTTGGACTTCATAACTGGTTGACCCTCCTTTGGCAGCAATAACCTCAACCAAACGTTTCCTGTAGTTGCAGATCAAGCCTGCACAACAATCTGGAGTAATTTTGGACCACTCCTCTTCACAAAACTGTTTCAGTTTAGCAATATTCTTGGGATGTCTGGTGTGAATCGCTCTCTTAAGGTCATGCCACAGCATTTCAATCGGGTTGAGGTCAGGACTCTGACTGGGCCACTCCAGAAGGCGTATTCTGTGCTGTTGCAGCCATTGTTTTGTTGAATTACTTGTATGCTTTGGGTCATTGTCCTGTTGCATCAGCCATCCTCTGCGGAGCTTCAGTTGGCGGACAGATGGTCGTACATTTTCCTGCAAAACGTCTTGATAAACTCTGGAATTCATTTTCACATCAATGACAACAATCCGTCCAGGCCCTGAGGCAGCAAAGCAGCCCCAAACCATGATGCTCCCTCCGCCATGTTTTACAGTGGGGATGAGGTTTTGATGTTGGTGTGCTGTGCTTTTTTTTTTCTCCACACATAGTGTTGTGTGTTCTTCCCAAACAACTCAATCTTGGTTTCATCTGTCCACAGTATATTTTGCCAGTAGTGCTGTGGAACATCCAGGTGCTCTTTTGCAAACTTCAAACGTGCTGCAATATTCTGTTTGGACAGCAATGGCTTCCTCCGTGGTGTCCTCCCATGTACTCCATTCTTGTTTAATGTTTTCCTTATTGTAGATGTGTCAACAAAAATGTTAGCATGTGCCAGAGATTTCTGTAGGTCTTTAGCTGACACTCTGGGATTCTTCTTTACCTCATGCAGCATTCTGCGCTGTGCTCTTGCAGTCATTTTTACAGGACGACCACGCCTAGGGAGAGTAGCAACAGTGCTAAACTTTCTCCATTTGTAGACAGTCTGTCTTACCGTGGACACATGAACATAAAGGCTTTTGGAGATACTTTTGTAACCCTTTCCAGCTTCATGCAAGTCAACAATTCTTGATCGTAGGTCTTCTGAGAACTCTTTTCTGCGAGGCATGGTTCACATCAGACAGTGCTTCTTGAAACCAGTAAACCCAAAACAGGTGTGTGTTTTTTAAGGGCAGGACAGCTGTCAGCAACACATCCAATATCATCACACTGATTGGAGTCAAGGTTGGCTCACTCCTGGCTCCAATTAGCTCTGGGAAAAGTCATTAAGCTAGGGCCTCACATACTTTTTCCTCCCTGCACTGTGAATATTTACATTTTATGTGCAATTAAACCATGGCAACATCTAATGTTTTGTGTAGTATTATGTTCAGCAGACTGTTTTCTTCTATTGTTGTGACTTAGATGACGTTCAGAGCACATTTTATGCCCAATTCATGCAAAACTCCACGTAATTCCAAGGGGTTCACATACTTTTTCTTGCAACTGTACACTGAACCCTCAGTCATCTCTTCTTCATAGATTAGTGTATTCCTGATGAGTATTTTAAACAACACATTTCAGAAACCCAGTTCTCTATTATAATTCCGTGATGTCTAAATATTACATTGTAGTTTAGTTCAGACTAAATACTTCTGGATCCCTTCAAAAATGTCCATAATTTTGATCATAATGATTGTCTGTGGGGTAGATTTCCTCAAACTGGAGCACTCAGAAGCTGATTGGCTACCATGCAAAGCTGCACCAGATTCAGCTTGTTCAGTTAGGCTTTGGTGAAAAAAAAACCCAGGGCTAGTGCGTCCAGGAGCAAAACCGCTTGACGCGGCTAAACGTGTGTTAACGCTAAGCACAGTTTAGCACTTTAGTGTTAATTTCAATGGCTAGAATAAATCGCTACTCTGGCCAATGAAATGCACTAATGCTCAAGCACTTGACATGCCTAAATGCTTGTAAAAGCATTAGATACGTTTATAAGTATCAGGCGTTTTTTCTGCCAAAATGCTACTGCCAGGAGGAAGGCTTCTAGGAGGGTTTTTTTTTTTTGGGGGGGGGGTTTTGGTTGGGTTTTTTTTGTTTTGTTTAGTTTTTTTGGGGTTTTTTAACTCCCTGTGTGCATGAGGCCTAAAAATCAGCAAATACCCAGTGATCCTGCTAACCTTCCTTGAAAAAGAATCCCTTCCTCTTTTTAAATTGACCATACTAGGCACAGATGCAAATCCATCGTAGTGTTGTCGGCTTGCATCTTTTCTTTCTACTTCTGAGCTACATTACAGAGTACACTTCACAGGTCTTCATGGAGCAAAAGTGCCCTTGAGACCTGTGACACCACTGAAAGCTGCAGTGCAGTGAAAGTGTCATCTTCTGTTGGCCACTCAGGGCTAGGGAAAGTATATTCATGTAAGTAAAAGGCCTGAAAGTATTATTTTTAGTTTGTTGTGACTTTGCAGATACTTGAATAGGCTCCTGAATAGTTGAAAAATACTAACACTTTTTAGAAAATACTGTATATTAGAGGTAAATGTGTAGACTTTTTTTTTTTTTTTTTTTTTTTTTTAATGTTTCAACAAACATTTTTGGTTTTATTCCTCTATATTTTAGATTACATTTCGCCTCAAGCATTTGCTTCGTGCCCATTGGGATGTGGCTCCTGTGACCAATCGTGTCCAGTTTTTGTGTGATGCAAATTCCTGGGCACAGAATATCTTCAGTCTAGGTAACACTCCTCTCCCATGTTATTGCCATATAAGATGAATGTCATTCCATCCTGAACTGGATAAAAAAAAAATTCCACAGACCAGTTCAGTACACTACAAGTTCCAGCTTTCAGAAATGTTAGGAACTTCAGCAAGATTGAAATGGAGGTCATTAGTCATGCAGCAGGGATCTTGCAGCTTCCAGTAGAGGTCCGGGAAGATCCATTAAGCTCAAACAACGAAAGAATAGTAGCGCAGGATCTTCATTAGTATAGTAAGAAACCTTGAACAATTAAAATAGCACACTTTAAATGTAGGAGTCTGGACATTTAGCATAAGGATTGGATGTGGACACCGCAAAGCTGTTAGTGTTAATCGGTAGCTTTTGCGTCCCAAGCCGGCATAGGGAACTCAATTTAACAGCTGCCAATGCCCGGTGTCCTACAGCACTATCCACTGCCTCGTGGCAACCCCTATGTAATTCTGAAAGGAGGGGGTGGTACTGCATTTCAAAGGAACAATCCTTCTTTGTCATAAACTACTGTAGAATAATCTTACCATTGTGGGAGGGGCATAGACACAAATTACTGCAGGAAATCTCACCAATGTGGGTGTTAATTTTCCCCATCAGTATACTGGGAGCCCTTAAACCCAGGTACAGTCGCTATGCTGATAGTGCCTTTATCACAAAGTCAGAGCTCTTGCATGCTTCTTCTCTGTGCCATGCTCTGCTATTTTGGGAGCATTTCTGTAAGCTATTGTGTGAGGGCAGTGCATTGTAGAGAGCTTCCTAGAATTGTAAAACAATAGAAAATATTGGTGGAAGTTTGTCATGCTACCAAATCAATAAAATACTTTTCCACAACTATATTAGACTATCCCCTAACAGAGGTTTGTGCACATCGATTTAGGCTCCCTAGTGATTGAAGAGGGGGATCCGCCTCAACAGGCAACTCCTGCAGATGGTAAAAACCCTCATGGCACAGCACCCAGCAACCAGCTGTCCAAATTCCCATCCCAGATCAGCCTGGCACAACTCCGCCTCCAACACATGCATCAGCAGCTCCTTGCTCAGCGCCAGCAGCAGGCACAGCGCCGACCCAGCGACCCAGCGCCAACGTCCCTCCACAGCCTGTGGTGGGTGTGAACAATCCCAGAGTACAAGGACCCATCCAGCACCCACCACAGCCTGGAAATCCGGTAAGAAGCTGCTCTAATACCATCATTTTCAAGTGTTTGATTAAAATGCACATTTTTTTCTTTTTTTTTTTTTTTTTTTTTTTGCTATAAAGGTTGCTACTTTGTGGTTTACAGCAGTTTGGTCAGCTTGTAAAATTTCTCTCTGCAATTTATAGGCTCATTTTCCTGGGACTGCTATGAAGGCAATGCAGTCATTTTTCAAATGGCTTCACTACTTTGTAAACTTTTGTCCCCTCTAATAAAGAGAGAATTATTATTTTTTTGTTTTTTGGAAGAAAGAAAAAAACATAATTGGCCTGAAATACACACATGCTTTTCGGCACTGTCCCTCACAGTGCTTCTTCCCTACCACAGGATATCTTCATTTTTCATTCAAACCATAATAAAGATGACTGCAAGTTAGGCTGCACAGAGCCCAATGATTTCAAATGGAGGCCCAATTGACAGGGATTCCCCCTAACGTTTCCATTGGGCAAGTTTTGACTGTGACATGGATCTTTGCTGTTTTGCACCCCCCCCCCCCCCCCCACTCCTCCAGATCCTACTGCAGTTGCTGTGTTATCTTTGTGTGCTCTGTACTGGGCTCAATGTCTGGACACCCAACTGAAGCAAAAAATTCTGCAGCCTGAGCTCCATTGTCCTACCCAATGGCTATGAAAGGGGAAGCTGGCTCAAGCCCCAACACAGTGGGCTGGAGTTCCCAAACTAAGTCATGTATATGCTGCCTTGGGGTCTCCCACAGGCAGCCTTTGACAGGCCTAGGCCCCAGCTGACCCTATTATTGAAGTGCCCCTGTTGGCAGTCTTGACAAAGTACAAGGCATCGTGGACCAACCTCCTTAGGTGCCCTGCATTTATATTGTGTTGATGCAGAGATGACATTAGCGTTCCTGTCTGTACCATCAAAGGCTGCCTACTGCTGGCTAAGATCCAAAGAGGGCCCCTATATGTCACATGAGTGACCTGAAGACAGCTGGGGGAAAAAAATAATATAAATATAGTAAAATACACATGGTGGTTGCTTCATGGTAAGATGGCAGTTATCCTGTACCTGTATGTAACAGTGCTCTGCATAAGTGGCTGCTTCTGCACTATATATCACAGCTGACTGGGTTGTCTGCAAGTAAAAATGTTTGAGACATGTATTACTGCGTCTGTTTTCCCCCAGCAGGTCCAACGATTTGCGAATATCCAAAATATGAATCCGCGAGCCAACGGCATGTTAATATCCAGTCAACAGGTCAGATACCCACACAATGTGCAGCCTCAACAGGAAATTCATATGCAGAACATACCAAGAAGACCCGGGGGACCCAATCCTGTCAGGGTGGCTTACGTGCCTCAACATGCCATGAAGCAGGTGAGTACGCTAGATCTCCATCCTTTTCTTTGCCCACCTCCCTTTTGTGAGTTCTGGGACAGGTGAGCAGTGCTTTCTTTATTCTTCTATGTCCCCTGGACTACTCTCCTGGCTGCTGAGAGTGCTGTCTGGGGCTCCCTCCTTCAGCTCCATAATCCCTAATCCTGTAGCTAGTGGCACTTCCCCTTAACAGAAGATGCTGGGTGTCTTTTCCAGTAGGGTGAGACCTATCCCCTGTCGGGCCTAGAGTTCCAGGCTGGGGAAACAGGGCGACTTTTGGCTGGCGGCTTCTGGCACAGGGAGCACAGGTGGCAGAATCAATTAGCCCTTTTCAGTGCATTTGTTTGCAGATACCATATATACATGTGGTGTTAAGGCACCTTTTTGGAATGTGCAATCCCTTGCTCTATTCTCTCTGAACTCTCAAATTTGGTACATATATACAGTATAGCAATACATACATTGTGAGAAAGTATATCTTGAATGTAGTCCTATCTATCTTAAAGGTACATTAACTAATTTTTCGTAACATGCTGAGCACAGTAAGACAAACAAACATGATTAGTTAAAAGTTTACAACTTTCAATGCAGCTGACTTTTACGTTGTGCTGCTCCCCTAAACTTCATGTCATCACAGTAAAAAGTTTAACAGTGGACAGTGTAGTCTCCGGCAAGTCTTTTGGTTTGGAGAATGGAGGAGTAGGTGACTGCCTTGCCATCCTAGGCTATGGGTCTGTGTGCTTCCATTGATGCATATGGCGTAGGGAGATGAAATTCTAGTCACTGCAAGCAAGGGTGCCACCCTGAAAAAAGGAAACCTGGGGCAGCAGCCATGGAGCAAGGATTAAAAGATAAAGAAACTGCATACTCAATAAATGATTAAATCCGCTGCTGAAAGTGTATAAAAAAACTGGGGGTTTAATATAATTTTAGGGCATCTAAAGACTGTGTCTGTATCAGATCCAAAGGCAGCAAAGGCAGCTGTTTTTAACTGTGACAGTGATCACCGGGATAAATGGAGAAGTTGATCTTCCCAGTGAGAACACAGATATTAAAACCTGATATTGGTTCTATTACTTCCAAATTCATAAATTAACAAAGTTTTTTGTATATACGTACACTTTAACTGAATGTTCCTGAGTAGAGGATGTTTATTAAAGAACAGACAACCTTGCCAGGTCTGGGAAGTGAATCTCAGTTGGTGCTTATTACGGGTTTCTTTTTTTCAATTGCTATGGCATAGTGTTTCTTATAATAAAGTCTTAAATATATCATTTTCATTTTTTAATAGTGGCAAGTCCCTGGAAACCAAACCATGGTTAACCCTGGCACTGGAACCTCCTCCACCCCATCCAGCCCAACTATCACCAGTGTGGCGGGAGGTGATGGCAAGGTTTTCCCCTCTCCTGTTATCGAGTTGGTGTGTTCGGCTGCTAATTCCTTCAATCTCCCACCATTGCCCGATGTAAGTATGACATCCTCCCACTTCCTTCTAATGCATCCACACTGTTTAAGATGCACTTTTCAAAACAAGAAGTTTCTTCTTTTACAGATTGATAGTACAGATAACCTCATGGTGGACAAGATGATGCGGAAAGATGTCAGAATGGACAACCACCATCAGAGAATGATAGCTCACCGAACTGTCCAGTCACCAAACTCCTCTGTGCCTTCTCCAATAGGTGTGTCACTAGTTTATTACTATACGAATACTGGGTCAACCCCCATCAACTCTTTCTGGCATGAATTCTGCCTTCCACAAACATTCCATTGATATTTTGCTCCAGATTGATATGATTGCATCTTGCAATTTCTTCTAACTTGTCAGATGCACATTCATGCTGCCACATGTATTCTTCAGCAGAAATTCAGATTCATTAGACCAGTCTGTATTTTTTCCAGTTGTTATATGTCCAGTTTTGATGATGCTCTGCCCACTGCCACCTCAGATTATTGTTCCTGCTGATCAGAAACCGTCCCATCTTAACAGTTCCACATGTTCTGGGATCTGCAACTATACTGAACAGAGAGATTTTAAAGAGTTACTGTAGCTTTTCTGTCAGCTGCAGTGAGTCTTGCCATTCTCCTCTGACATCTCTCAGACCTTGTCTTCAGGACTCATGTTCACTGGGTACTTTCTTGTGTGTGTGGTCTTTTGAGGCAAACATTAACCACTTCCAGTCCGGACACTTTCACCCCCTTCCTGTCCAGGGCAATTTTCAGCTTTCGGCGCTATCACACACTCATGCAACACTGTACCCATATGAATTTCTTACCATTTTTTTGAGACAGAGAAAGTTTTATTTTGGTGGTATTCACCACTGGGATTTTTTTTTTTTTTTTTACTATGTAAATTGAAAGTCCAAAAATTTTGAAAAGCGTTTTTCTTGTAATATTTTGCAAATAAATAATATTTCATCATAAATCTTGGCCAAAATGTATTCTATCTTTTTAGTAAAAAAAAAAAAAAAAGCCAAATTAGTTTATAACCAAAAATTATAATTTTTAACTTTTTTTTTTTTTTTTTTTTACATTTTTTATTTTTTTTTTTTGTTTTTTTTTACATACTGTCACCCTAGCAGTACAGTGTCACCATGGTGACACTACTACTTGTGGGGGGTGATGATTTTTTTTTTTTTTTTTTTTTACACTGATTGCTTTTACACCCATATAGGATGTAAAAGCAATCATTTCTCTTTCTCTCTGTCTGCATTCTTGCAGCCATTGAGAACTACTGAGTGAGCTGTGATTGGTTACAGCTTGTCACATGGTACAAGGCTGTTGTGAATAGCCTTGTACCATGTGACCTCTGTGATCATTCAAAGATTTCACACGTAGTAAGCAATGATGTCACAAGTGACATCTTGCTTACTACTTTGCATGTGATCACTGATTGGTCATTCAGTGATCACATGATCGGAACCTCATACAGAGGTCCCGTCCGACGATCGGTGTTTCACTGTGTCCGGAGGACACAGCGGGCACCGGATCGCGGTGCTGCGCGCTCCCAGGGAGTGCGCACAAGCAGGGTGCGGGGAGGCCGTTTTATAAACGGCCACCCGACCCTGCAGTGCCGCAGTCCGGCTGTTTATATACAACAGCCAGACTGGAGGTGGTTAACTGAAGCTCCTGACTTGTATCTGTATTTTATACATTGCACTACTGCCACATGATTTAGTATTGATATGAATTAATAGGTGTGCCTAATAAAGTGCATGGTTAGTGTATACTGTGTTACTTGGCCAGATAGCACAACCTAAGTCATTGTTGGGTGAACGGGCACTACCTCAGATTGTATTTATGCTTTGACATAGAGAAAATCACCTGAAGACTGAGCTTCAGGTCTGTGCTTTTAAAAACTGCAGTGCTAAAATAATCTCAAATAACAAAAATTGGTGATAAAGTGCAACAGCGCTGTTATGGAGTGCAATAAAGTGAAAGAAGTGCGTCGTCCTATGTGGACGAAAAATTAGTGACAAACGCACAATGTAAACGTAGAGAGTCCACATGAAATCTTCTTTAGATATGTGCTTATCTCATCCAATTTGTGCAGATAATTCGTAGCTCCTCCACATATTCTATTAGATATGGTGCTCGTGACTCCTTGTGGAAAAGGAAAAAAAGGTGTGCTTGCACTCGCCAGACACACAACCAATTTGTGCATGTAAAGATAATCCTGTAGGCATCTGGAAACCGATGGGGATATGGTACTTCTCAGGTGCTCGCTACACCCTTGACCAGACTTCAGACCTTTCCATAAGACCCTCACAGTGAAAGGAATAGATCCTCGGTATGGATTCCACAGCAACTTGGTGATGTTAAATCTCCACCTTAAAGCAGCTCCAAGAATAAGCCACCAAAAAGAAGGCTGATATAGTGTATTTTATTTTAAATTAGTAGCCAAATGGATAATAGCATATGGTTAAAACACTGTCCAGTCCATATGACAATAATTGCCAAAAAATAATATAACCATATAGCCAGCTTATTTCAATATACAGATGAAAGCCAGCATGTATATGCATATAGTGAACCGATCAGTCATGCTGGGAAATCATCTGAAATAAATTGGCCAATATCCGGATATGACTCAAAAATGGCTGCCAGCCAAGCACATGGAGCTGGCAGCGTGTGATGTCAGTGCGGCCCCTGACTTCAGCTTGTCCCCTGACTGTGGACGTTTACATTGTGCGTTTGTCACTAATTTTCGTCCACATAGGACGACACACTTCTTTCACTTTATTGCACTCCATGACAGCGCTGTTGCAGCTTATCACCAATTATTGTTATTTGAGAATATTATTATTTTAGCGCTGCAATTTTTATATGGTATTTTTAGGATTTAGAGTTTTCTTTTTTTTCCCCTTTGCTAGCTGCTCTATTCTATTATTTATATATTTAATAGCGCTCTCTTGATTGTTATCATTTTGTATTAGGTCTGTGCTTTTGTACTAAAATCCCATATCTGTAGAGTTCCCGAAAGACATGTATTAAATTGATCTAGATGAGGAAACGTTTGCCTGTTTGCGTTTGGTATCTATTTGGATTTTGAGACCGGAGCATTTAAAATAACACAGATAAACCGGTAGACCTTACAAACTCAATACGTATATTATCTGCAGTACTAAATTCTGAGCGGCTGTTCTGCAAAATTTGTTAGTGGTAAACGTTAAATGTATCACAAGTGTTTTCTGTTATTACAGGTTCCTTGGCGGGTGTTCACCCTCCAATGCGTTCTTCAAGTGCGTCCAGTGTGGGCAGCCGAGGAAGGTAACTTTTTTGCTTCTTTTCAGAAATTGATTTAAATAGTACGAACAGCCTCCTGTTGAATTCATTTATACAATTTTTGGCTCTAATCTTGAATATACCTGGCCCAATTGTAAATTGGGACACTTTGAGCCTCCTGTAGATAATCTGTTCCAGTCTGTGGCAATTAGTAAATTATTGTTCTTAGCCTTTTTTTTTTTTTTTTTTTGGTATAAATTTTATGCCCAAGAACAATGCAGTTGCTGAGTGGGTAAAGTAGGTTGACTTCTCTTAGGTTAGGAAAATTTGCATATCAAAAGCTGGGTTGCCCCAATTTCATTGTTTGCAGAGACAGTTCTAGCTCTGGCAAAGCCTCATTATGGTTGTTTATCCATGCTTTTCAGTATAGACATAGAATCCAGCACTTGCATAACTTTTCCCATTTCCCCTTCCCTTGCTATAGTATGTGTACTACTTCTGTACTCTCCATGATAATTGACAATGTCTGCGTGTGCAATAAAAAAATGATTCAAAAAAGAAATTCACTGAAAGAGCAAAAGTGCATTCAAAAGCCTCCATTTTGCGTACCTAGGGAAAGTGAAAATAATGGTTAAAAGCCAGTTTACATTTAATAAATTCTCAGTTGATGGTATGGAAGAAATTTTGCCAGAAGAACCTAGCATTGTGCTGGAAGGCTGTCCAAGCAATTTAGCTCTAGTGTAAACTGGATGTCTTGTACTGTTGTCACGTTGAACCTCATTTTTTTTATTAATTATCAAATACTTCCTTCCCTTAGTTCTGGATCTTCCAGCAAACCAAGTGGAGGAGCTGACTCCACCCACAAAGTTCCCATTGTCCGCCTTGAGCCTATCCGGATCAAACCAGAGAACAATGCTGAAAACGAATCTTTTGAATACCCAGTCGTAGTGGTCAAGCAAGGAAACCAGCGCCCACAGCAGCATCCTAGAAATGTAAGTGGTACTAAAGCGGCAGAGATTGTAGAGCAGGTTTTATGTTAATCAGTGGAAGACACAGGGCTATTAAAGTACTCTGTTGCAAGAACAGTCCTCTTCCCCCCCCCCCAAACTCCATTCACTTACTGACCTATAGTAGCCTGTACAACACTCTGAATTTTTTCAAGGCATTGTATCTGCAACTGGGGTCTTCCAGTCCAAACAGTGTCAAGACAAAATGAGAGAATTTGTTTCCATTGTTTTTTAGGTAAGTAATAAGTTTTTAAGCTTGCTGCCAGATTCCTCTGGGACATTGCAAACAAGGAGAACAGTAAGGGCTGCATGGAAATGACCCTTGCAATTTCTTCTAATCCAAGTAAAAAAGTGTATGCTGTCTGGAAGATCTATATGAGAGATGGAGGGTGTCTCGGCAGCCCTGCCTGACCAACTTCTAAAGGTTCCTAAGTTCTTGAAAGCCCTTGCACAGCTGCAAGAGTGTTCATAGATGGGAAATTCCCCCCTGAACTTAATACTGTGATAATGGATCAATTTATGGATGGTGACTTGATGTATAGACCTACTGTATATATATTGGTTTGTTGGCGTTTGACCCAGCTGATGTCTCCCATTCTGCTCATTCCCCTCAGCGTCTTCCCATAGCAGATCTTTTGATAATCTGTCTCTTGTTCCCAATTATTCTTTGTAAATCTTCAAAGAAAAACAATTCTGTGATCTTCGCAATGCTCATGCATCCTGCCAGGTGTGTCTGATCATGACTCAAATGAGTGCATTAGCCAAACCGCTAAATACACATGTAGAATCTTTATCCAAATCCACAACCGGTGGTCATTGAGATCATACTGCTGCTTCTTGATATAGAATTGGCACTTTCTTGCATGGGTGGGGAACCCACCTGTACGTCAAGGACATGCATATTGCTGTCTTGCTACACTGCAGGATTTCTGACTAAAAGCCTCTTAAAGTTGACCTTTTAATAAAAACACCAGGTCCACTTAATAAATCGGGGTCCCTTTCCCATAAAAAGAATGCAGTGTAAAAAGTTATAGAAAAAAAGCCTGCAGTGAACAAAAGTTAGTAAATATACTTGCCTTTTTTTGCCCTAGATGGGTTTGACATTCTTCTGCCCAGGTCTAGGGAAAATGCTGAGTATTCCTAATCTTGAGATTCTGCACTGTGCTGGAGCATCTCATAAGATTTTTGGTGGGACTTTCACAGGGATCTCACTGCAGAGAGTTGGGGATTTCCTGCTCTCCCCACCCACCACCTATGGAAGCATCTTTTGCACCAAACAGATTGACCTCTTATCCCTTGATCCAGACCAGTATCACTATTCTGGGCTTAGTAAATATAGTCTGAAACAGGAGATAAAGTTTGAGTTCAACACCTATATCTGGCAGTTATTTAGAATTGTGATTTAGTCATTTAATACAATCCTGCAAGTGGTGCTTTTGTAGCTCTTTGATGTGTCTATCAATTCTGTTTTGTCTGCATGATAACAATTTTACTTTCCCTGCAGGCTGAATACACAGGAAGCAGCATCTTAACATCCATGCTGCTCGATCGGAATGCCAATCGCACTACCAAACCAGACTCTGCTCCAAGGAGGGACACTCCCGATAGTACCGGTGACCGCCATGTTGTTCAGCAGAGTACATACCTGCGAGCCAATGATTGGGGCTCTCATAATCAGGTGACAGAGAGTGGTGGAAAGGAGGATGACCCTAATGAAGATTGGTGTGCGGTGTGTCAGAATGGAGGCGAGCTGCTGTGCTGTGAAAAGTGTCCCAAGGTTTTCCACCTCTCCTGCCATGTGCCAACACTAATGAACTTCCCCAGGTAAGAAAAGGTGGTGATGTGTGAAGGAAGGGGGACATCAGGGATGTATCTGATCAGTTTAATGTTTCTTGCCTTACGACCTACTGAGTGCTGCACACTCGTTGGGCCCCATTTATGATGTATTGTCCAGTCGATGACATAGTCTCGTTCTCCAACTGTCAGTAACCTCGCCAGGTATGACCAGACATTGGTCCCATGTTACAGTTTTAGAACACAGGAGCTGTTGAGGAGGCCTAGCTCTTTCACACCTCTTCTGTATCCTCTTGGCTGAACAGAGAACAATTGCACTTAAGCTAACAGTCGTACTATTTTGTGTTTAGAAGAATTAATATAATGTATTTGTTTACTGCATTTTTTTTTTCCTCATAGTGGTGAATGGATCTGCACTTTTTGCCGAGATCTTTCCAAACCTGAAGTGGAATATGACTGTGATGACCCATCTCTGGCAGAGAAACTGAAGCTGGGGGGTGCCACTTTAATGGCACCGCTAGATCAGAGGGTAAGTGTGCCTGGATGGCCTGGCGGGGGAAGACTACTTGCCTAGACAGCCTGGCAGGGGGAGTAGAAAGATGTCATTGGTTGGGTTCTACTTCTTCACTGTCCAGTCATAGGTTGAGGGGTGGGAAGGTGACCATACTATGGTGTGTGGTTTTTTTTTTTTTTTTTTTTTTTTTTTTTTCTTCTGCAGTTAAAATACCAGTTACCAAGCCGACTCTGCTGACTAAGTCAGGCTGATTTGGATAATGGATTTTAGGTGGAACATGTTCAGCATCTGTATCCTTGGCCCCCCTCCTCCCAATTCCCATCGCCCCCATTCCCCCCTCCCAGGTCCTGCAAACAGTGATGTGGCAGCAATAGTAGTTAGTCTGCATTGTAACAGCATTTTCAAACATTGTAATTTGTAATTTCTGATGTTTGCTGTTTTTAGAAGTGTGAAAGAATTCTCTTATACCTCTTCTGTCATGAGATGAGTCTGGCCTTCCAAGACCCAGTTCCCCTTACTGTGAGTACAATCAATTAAATCTTTCTTTTTGTTTTGGGGTTTTTTTTTTTGTCTTTTTTTTTCCCAGTTCTGCAGCAGGATGGAAAACAGATCATAAGATTGTTTAAAGTAGAACTCCAGGCATAGTAAAATGGTTTCTTGATTCAAGTATAACTTAAGGCAAATGTTTATCCTAATTGTACAGGACACATTTATAGACCATGGGGTATATGCTGCTGCCTTCAGAAGATGAAACACTGGCAAAAGGTTTGCTGGGAACACCCCCAGCACACTGTCTTATAACCCCACCCACTTAGTGGGGCCTCTGTTTTTTTTGTTTTTTTTTTTGTGTGTGTCTATAGGTAATTGACCTACTCTTCAACAGAGAAGTTGGCGTTACTAAACCATTCTTCTTTTTTTTTTTTTTTTTTTTTCCCCTCCACTTCTTCACTGACACTTCTATCAAGATCCTGCTGCTTATTGCTTCAAGGCTCTTTTACAGTTTTCAGATCTGTTGCCCTTGATTTACATCTTGGGCACCATATCTGGACCCTACAGCAGCAGGGGTGGCCTGTAACGTTTGCTTCAGGCACTGAATCATGTGTTTGGCACACGGTGCAGCTAGTGTATTTGGCTGCTGGATGCTATACATGCCCTGGATCTATTCCTGTGGCCCCTTTTAGGGGTATGCCCACTGTGATGGGCAAAATCTGGTTCCCTCAGAGGGCCTGCAGCATTGAGTTGAGACAGCATTTTCCTGCACTCATGAGTCCTGTTTTTACATGTTGGTTTTGTTTACTTAGTATATTTCCCCTTCTGTACAAGTTATTTACATTGGCGGTAGGTAATATTTTTAATGTTTTAAAATTGGTGGATTTATCCCACTCAACGTTACTGCTTGGGTGGAGATATAGTTACAATATGTTATTTCTGCCACGAATGTTTGATGGCTGTCCTCTTGACTGTCCTCTTTCCAGAGACACCGCAACAGGACATCTGTCAGCACCTGCGTAATAGCGGCTCCATTCTTGGATATGCATATACCCTCTTACTCATCCGTTTTGTGTGCACCCCACAGGGGATCCCCCCACTTAGCAATGTCAGGGATGAGAAACTGAGAAAAAAGGTCCTAACAGCACTCATGCTACAGATGGCACTGAAGAAAACAAGTAAAAAGCTCAGGGTGGTAGCTGTTCCCCTGCGCAAGAACAAGTGCTTTTTTTTTTTTTTTTTTTTTTTTTTTTTTTTTAACCTCCAGTATCCAGTCCCCAAAAATGCTCTTCTGCTTCTCCATCACCTGAATCTCTTCAGGTGTATGGCCTTGAACCTGTTTGAAGAAGATATTGAGGAAGTAGAAGTGGATGCGGAAGAGGATCCTGCAGAGGAATTTCGCCTTCTGCATGTTATGACACTGTTATTCTACTGTGATCTCACTTATTGATGCATTCTAGCCTTTGCCTAGCAGCAGTGGAATCTTACCAGCGCAAACAAACTCCTATGGGCACAAGACGGCAGGTGAAATCTAAAAAGACTTTTCCTCTTGCGCACACAAATTAACTGTGCTTTGTAGAACGATTGGTCAAACCTGAAAAGTTATGTTTTTCTCCAAAACTCTTTTGCTGGTCCTGTCATAGAGGTTGTAGATTCGAAGGGGAATGAAGAGGATGTTAAGACAGTGTTGCAGGATTCTGCAGAAGATTTGTCTCCCACATTGTCATAATAGTGAGGAAAAAACTTCACGCTACATACTTGCTAACATTGATAAGCTCCTTGCCTCTGTTCACAAAAGCCTTGGCATTTTGCAAGTTGGCTCTCCTCCACTTTGCCACGCACCTTTGGACACAAAGAGACCTACAAAAACTTGCAAAACATTCCCCATGAACAGATAGAATGTGCAGTTTATAATGGTTGGATAACTCCTGAAAAGATTTTCACTCCCCCAAAAATCTTTGTACGTTATCCAGTGGAAACAGTTTGCAAAGGTTGACCCTACCATATCTGTCTTAAACGTCTCACTGTACCTATCTTCCTAATATTCTGCTGACAAAAAATTTGAGATGTGGGTTTTTTTTTTTTTTTTTTAAGTTTGTTTTGTTTTCTTTATTTAAGGTTTTGCAAACATATACAAGGATCAGTCTGATTTGAAGTGCTTTTAAAAGCTTTTACCTGGCAAGCCCAGCCCTACAGCTGGCTCTAGCTGATATTTCTGTATGTCAAACTGCAGCTAACTGGACTAAGACATTGAATAACCAACATGACCCTATATTTAAGGACAATGCTACTGCTAAGCAAATACAGTTTCCTTTTCTTTTTTGTGTAGAATCCCTGGAACATGTCATGGTTTATCAAGTATGGCTCTAATCTCTATTCATATGCAACAGACCCTTATGGCTAAAGACTTGAACTGTGGAATCTACCTGTAAAAGCTGCCTCACATGGTCGCAGGTGGGAAGGTATTGCTTCTTCAGCAAAAGTTGCCAAAACCGCCCTCATCAGGAGCCACTGGCTCATCTAATTGCAGAGAATCTGCTCGCTTTAACCAAGGTTCAACTTTCAAACCAGAGTTCAGCCCTTCCTTTCAGAGCTTGGCCCACAAAGTCCACCAAGCCTTCCACAAAGCCCTCTTTACAATGAAAGGATGCCCTCACGCCTAAGAATTGGGGGACATTATTTGAAGTTTGCATCTCTCTGGATCACAGATGTCTCAGACCTGTGGGTTCAGTTGGCCGTTTTAAAGTTAGTACAGGATAGAAGTTAAAAACTCTAGCGCCCTCCTGGCTTTCTTCTTTTAAATCAACCAAAAATTATGAGGATAGTCAGATTTGCAGAATTCCCTGAACCGCCTCTTGTACCAGGGAGTCAATGTGCTAGTACCGTTACAGAACAGGTTCAAGGGATTCTGCTCAAACCTGTTCACGATACCCAAGCCCAATGGAGGTTTTTTTTTTTTTTTTTTTCAATCCTGGACCTAAATTTGTTCAAATTCCAAAGTTTTTGCATGGAATTTGCTTGGTGACTAATTGCCTCTAAGACGAGGGGAGTATATGACATATGTGGACATTCACGATGCCCATCTGCATGTTTCCAATTTACCCACCTCATCAGTGATTTCTATGCTTTGCAGTGGCAGACCTCATTTCCAGTTTTTCACACTGCCCTTTAGCCTTTCCTCAGCTCCAAGGATGTTAACAAGGTCTTTGCACCCTTACTTGCCTTTCCCAGAACTCAAGGCATTCAAGTGACAGGCTAATTTAGATGGCCTTCTCCTGAAGCATTCATCTCCTTTGTAACTCTGAGCAAACATCCAAATAATAATTCAGCTGCTTCAGGTAGTTGGCGGGGTGATCAATTTCAACAAAAATCTGCTCTCCAGCTGTTCCTACACCTGGAGTACTTGGTTCTAATCCTTGATGCATCCCAAGCAAAAGTCTCAGGGAAAAAAAAAAAAGGTTCTCTGAGTTCATGCTTGAAAACTGAGATCCAAGAGAAATTTCACAATGAGATTTGTCATGGGAGTTCTGTGTATAAAAATGGCCTCCTCGGAGGCAGTTCCTTTCGCTTTATTCCACTTAGCTCTCCAACAAAACCTTTTATCAGCATGGAAAAAGCAGGCTTTTTCCCTGGATCTACAGATGTCCCTTTCCAACCAAGCAAGGACTTCCTTGTCCTGGTGGATCAGCACTTCAGCCTTTAACAATGGGAAAATGCTCTGTTCCCTACAGCTGGAAAGTTCATATAACAGACTCAAGTCTGTCAGGCTATGGAGGAGTCTCTTCCAAACTATGACAGTTCAGGGAACAAGGTCAAGAGAAGAAACCAAATTCCCTATCAACCTCTAGGAGCTCAGAGCTGTCATGTTGTCCTTTCAGCACTGGACCTTCCTTCTAAAGAGACACCCAATTTAGGTGTAGTTAGACTATGCCACCACAGTGGTATATAACAACGATCAGTGGGGCACAAGGTACCTGACTGCCTTGAACGAAAGAAATCTGATTCTTTCCTGGACAGAAATTTACTGTCCA